GGGAGGGGGAACAGTGATGATTCATCCCAAGGTAAATCACCTACCCCTGTCCTGGAGCATCACATGGCAATTTGCGTTTTCGGGAATCAGTGGCCAGTGGATCCAAAGCATTTTCTCCTAACCCACTCATCTTGAATATACATCAGCAACTAAGCAAACAAAATAATGACAATATTACAAAGTATGAACATGAAAGTGCTATTCGATAGAATGACTGCATGCTATATAATTCAAAAGTACTTTCTCAAACCAGGCAAGATGGTGCATGGCTGTAATCACAGCACTCCAAGGCTGAGTTCAAGGCCATTCTGGGCTACAAAGTAAGTTCAAAGCCAGCTTGAATTGCATATTGAAACCCTATCTCAAAGAGAGCAAAATAAAAGTGTTCTCAATATTCTGTACCATAAATTAGCATCCTGAAAACCTCAGAGTTCAACTTCTACCTTACAGAGTACCACCCTTAATACCGAAATGTTTCCTACTAAAGCAATGCATATTAGGTCAAGATCTCCATAAAAACAAACTGAAAAAAAGATTTAACTATTAACAAATTTTATTTAAATTATTCAAGTTATTTTTATATGTAGTTCTTTTCCATTACACCACTTCACTAAAATTTATTGACTAACATGTTTTCTTCTGTTATAATAAAAGAACATCTAGATTTTTATAAATGATGTCTTACAAGGTGGATGTAAAACAATGTAACTTAAGGTAGAGGGGGGCAGGCACTGAGCCATGGCACAACAATTACTTTAATATTAACTGATGGTGGGCTGGGGAGAGAGCTTCGGTGTCTAAGCACCTGCCTGCAAGCGCAAGGACCCAGTTTCAATCCCCTGTACCAAACTCAGGGAACTCCAAGCCAGCCACTGTAACTGGGCCTGGTGGTGTATACCTGTAATTCAGACAGAGAAAGAGACAGAGAAAGAGACAGAGAGACTTTAAAATGTTAACTGATGGTAAATTAATATGCTGTGGTTAAAGTCTCAACAATGAAGATTATATAAAGTATTTCTTGAAAAGCAGCACTTTTAATACTCAGTAGATCATAAGTTATCTTCTAGATCTTCATTTATTGTAAGTTTAGGTGTGCTAAATTCTTATTAGCACAAGACAATTATTGTTCTAAAGATCTATCTAAGCCAGACATGGTGGCTTGTGCCTGCAATCCCAGACCTCAGGAGGCAAGGAAGAAGGATCATTATGAGTTCAAGACCAGCTTGAGCTACAAAGTGAGCTCAAGCCCAGCCTGAATTATATAGTGACACCCTATCTCAAACAAAAAAGACACACACACACACACACACACACACACGAGAAAAAAAAAAAAAACTCATTCTAAACTGTATTTCTAATGTTAAAATACACAAAGCATTCTAGCTAGTCTGTAAAGATGTACCCTAAAGAACACACATTTCCACTAGATGGCACAACACTACTAGAAGGGAGGACAACAAAAATGCAAAACTTGCAAAATGCTGATCAAACTTAAAACCAAAATCACGACTAATCATGCATTCTGGATTACTACATCATCTTTATAGATAAAGCATGTATAAATTAAATGCAAACAAAGATTATAATTTTGGTAGCAAAATGTAAAGGCTGACAAATGTTTCAAAGATTTGCTGGGATTTTTACTCCCAGCTCAATATTTTGATATTAAAGCATAAGCATAAAACACATTGACCTCAGGAGATATATTATTCTCCCCCAACCCCTGGACCAGGGATTGAACTCAGGTCCTTGCACTTACCAGAGAAGTGCTTATTCTACTGAACATCTCCCAGGCCCCCGGAGCACTATATTTGGGACCTGGACTCAATCTCCTACAGCACATTCTACACCAGCCCCGCCCACAAGGCTTGCTGAGCCAGCCAAAGAGACTAGGCGTGGTGTGGTGGTACATGGCTGTAATCCCAGCACTGGGGAGGGTGAAAACAGGAGGATTACTACCAGTCCCACCTGCATACTGAGATCTTATACCAAATACATAAGTGAAAAAAGAAAAAGAAACAGTCTTGGCATGAGGTTCAGGATGGCCTTGAACTATTTATATGTAGTCCAGGCTAGCTGGAATTCAGTGAGCCGCTTAGCCTCCTGAGTGCTGGGGTCACAGTCATGTGCCACCATGCTCATCTTGATGAAAATGTTTTAATATCCAAGCTAAATGCACTGCAACTGTCACACAGCACACCCATGCCTGTAATGATAGAACTTTGGGAACTGAGGAATGAAGATTACTAGTTCACAATCAGCCTCAATGATTTTAAGTGAGGCCTTGCCTCAAAATATCAAAATTAATTAGTTAATTCCCTGAAACTGATACACCAACTGTGGCTAAAAGACTATCAACAAACAAAACAAAACAAAGGAAAAGACACTCAATGTGTTTGGTACTTTGGGCTAACGAACCATCAGTAACAAAAATGATATGCAAAGGTCTGGAAGTACAGTAGTACCTCACTATTTTGGGGTTCAACTTTCACAGACTGTTTTGCAGGTCTTCAAAAATATTAATCTACATTATTTATCACAGATTTTTCACTATATTGCAGGATTTTGCAATACCATACAGTATGTGTTTGTTGTCAAAATTATGTAGGTTTACATTTGGAAAATGGTTAAGAACATTAGAAGGTTTTTGTTTGGGGAGGGTTTGTAATGACATTAAATATATATAAATACTAAAATAATATAATGTCACTATTTCGCTGATTTTCACTTATCACGGGGGTGTCTGGAAAGTAACCTCCGTGCAATAAATGAGTGACCACTGTATTGTCAAAGAGTAAACCAGGCAGCGGACAGGAGGGGATTAGAAGGAAGGGAAAGGATAAGAAAGAGATTAGGTTAAAATAATGGCATTGAATTTTAAAATTCTTTGTACTACTCTTTTTCTTTAAACTGTGCTTTAAATTTAACTTGTTTCCAAATAAAGATTTAAAAGTGTTCAACTTTTGCTTCAATTTTTGTATTTAAAAAGAACAGTGATCCTTTAAATACAAAAGTAATTTTTGTACCTACCTGTTTTTCAGTTAGTTCATTCAAAGGTCATTTTTATTTTATTTTTTTTTATTTTTATTTTTTTGGTGGAACCGGGGATTGAACTCAGGCCCTTGCACTTGCCAGGGTTTTATTTATTTTTTATTTATTTATTTATTTTTTGGGGGGGAGGTCAAAGGTCATTTTTAGATTGACCAAGATGACACAATGCTACTCAAGAGGCTCAGGCAGGGGTATCGAAAATTCAAGACCAGCCTAGACAACTGAGCACAAGCCCATATATATCCAATTAGATTACAGGTGTGTGGGTTTGACGGCCAGCTCCACCCCCGGGGCACAGTGAGACAGCAATTGAGACTGGGCATGGTGGCACACACCTATAATCCCAGCTCTTGGGAAGCTGTAAACAGGAGAATCACTACAAGTCCAATCTAGTAAGTAGTGAGACCCTGAACACCCTGTAGACCCTTCCCTAAAATACACCAAAAGAAATAAATAAATCATAGTTTAAAATTTCCTTGACTCTGATCTTTTATTTTAAAATTTAATTCACTCTGATCTTTTCCTTTTAGAGTTTATTACTTTAAACTCTAACCTACTTCTGCAGTTGATATTGAATGCTACTGTAATGAATTTAATAACAACAAAAAGTCTGTTATGGTCTGATGAAGTATAAATGTATAGCAGAAGAATCTCTAGGTAAGTTTAATTGTAAGAATAGCCTATTAATATTTCAGCCTTTCTAAATTCTGATTTCTGGAGCCAGGGATATAGTTCAGGGGCACAGTGCCTGCCTGCCTGCCTGGCAAGCATGAGATCCTGAGTTCAATTAAATGCTGATTTCCTATAATTGAATATTATCACCTACAAATACCAGAGAAGGGTTAGGGAAGATAGCTCTCAGCAGTCTAATAGCTGGCCTGGTAAGCACAAGGACTCAGGTTTGATCCCTGGCTGCACATGCTGTGCCAGCCTCAGAATCCCAGGCATACCAAGCCAACAAACGAAACCAGGTGTGGTGGCACATGCCTGTAATCCCAGCACTGGAGAGGCTGAGACAGGATGATCGCTATGAGTCCAAAATGCGTAGTGAGATCCTGTATCAAAACACACACACACACACACACACACACACACCCTTAGAGAAGTTAGGACTACAGTATACATTTGTGCCCTCACCCAGTACCCTTACCCATGATGCTAAGAACCTAAAAATATCATGCAAATTATTTAAGTTTCCAATGAAGAAGTGACCCTCAATTCATGTTAAAAATGCAAGTTCATCTTTACTGCACTTTCAGGGAGATAACAGAAGACTTTTCAAGCCCTATATTGTATAGTACAGAAAAATACTAAGGTAAAGAACTACTGATCAGAATCAAAGACATGAATCAAACCCAACATTAAATGTGAAGTCTAGATCCTTTTAGGCACTTTTACAATTATGTTCTTTGTGTGAAATATTTCCACTAAAAAATTATATTATTTTTACTTATTATTATTCAAAGATACAAAAGTCTTGTTTTGAAGCAGGATCTTACCATGTAGTTCACGCTGGCCTTTAACTCACTATGTAGCCCATGCTGGCCTACAAATCACATGGGTACTCCTGACTCAGCTTGCCAGAATGCTGAGATTATATGTGTATTACACCACACCTCCCTTAAATCCATGATAAAATGTAAAATTCAACTTAAAGAAAGTGGGTTGGAAGCTCCATTAGGCCTTCTATATATAACAAGCTACAGAACATAGTACAGTTTAGACATTCAATGAATAAACTGCTAGAAAGTGAATGTTAATGGAATAATACTAATAGAAATGAAAAAGCAACAAAATTTATACTGGTTGCCCCAAAAGACATTAGAATTTTGGTATATGACTTGCAGCATCAATCATCTTTTCTTTTGGTTATCCACAGTGATGATAACAGTAGGTTACCTTAGGTCTGTGGTGATGGGTGACAGCCAGTGCTGCACAGTGTGAGTTCAAGGTCAGTCTTAGCTAAATGATGAGACCTTGTCTTAAAAAAAAAAAAAAGGGGGGGGGCGCGCCTGCTTGATTATATGTGGCAAATTGACAAAAGGGACAAGAATACAAAACTGTTCCTTGTCCACAAGGAAAGGATATCAAAGAAAAC